TAAAAATGACAATGTGGTAGTGACTGATTGCAAAGCCGGTCAATTTAATTTCAGTCATTTCGGATAGAACTATTGGTGTTTTTTAATTCATTCATTTATTCAATAGTTGTTTAAATAGATTGAGGTTACAGAACTGTTTTATTTTTATTATTATAAAAAATGATTACAAATGAGGTTCGTCTAGAAATTTGTTTATATGACATAAAAATAAACAAATTGTGTTAAAAATGAATAAGGAAAATGGTAAAATCTGGGTTAAAATCGTTAATCAGTGTTTAAGATCTGTTTCAATTAATTTCCCGAAACATTCCAATATAAAAACATCAACTTAACTAAACTTAGTTTCGATAAAATATAAAAAAATATTCTTGGAAATACAATTTATTTATTACATAGAATTCTCTTGCTTTCTATTGTTTAATAAATCAAACACATTATAAAATTTGCAAATTTGTTTATTATTTTATCTGACATTTTTTATTGGTGTTCATACTGTAACATTTAAATAACAATTGTCTTATTATAATAACTTGATTTAGCCAAATTTAAACTTAAAATTAGAGACAATAGTTTGGTTCAACCAAAACATCTGCAAACAAATAGAATTACTCACGTGCATGATATCGGGAAATTAGGCTTAAAAACATAATGTAAATGAATCAAAACAAACACATTTTTTTTAGAGAACTCTAATAATTTTTTTTAATCATTTTTTTAAATCATTTACATAATTTGAATGTTGTTTAAAAATAATAAATATAGTAATTTATTATATATAAACCATCAAAATAATGGTTTTGTAATTAAATTTGAATAATAACAATTCAATTTTTATAACAATTCACGAAATTTTTGTATTTTGAAAAAAAAAATCAAAAAATCAATTTGAAAAAATTAATTAACAGATCCAGTAATTTAATAGTAAAAACAATTATATAATATTATTTTATAGTGTTGATACTTCCTTATAGAGACGCAAAATAAAATAAAAAAATCAATGACTCATCTTTTTTAAAAAAAATCGAATCAACTCACACGATATAAAATGGAATTATTTTTTTTAAAACAACCATTTTTTTTAAAAGATAACTGAAATGATATTTTCTATGAACGTGTTAATACCACTGTTGTGGATGATTTACACTAACGCTTTTAACTTAGAAAAGAATTACAACTTCAGTTGTACAACCAACTCAAATCAAGTGACAAAAAGTGCAACTATATATCCAGTAAACAATGGCTCTTATTATAACATTGGGTTCTTAACATCCGATATCACGCTTTGTATGTGCACAACACTAAACACAGAACGAAAACGTAACGACAAGTGTGAGTTTACTGGGCCGTATTGCATTCAGACTCTTTTTAGTTCTATTGATCATTACAAAACTGACTGTGTTGTGATAGTAGATAGAGACTTCAAGTTTTACATAGAAGGGGAGCAAACAGTAGAAGATTATGCGACTCAATATTCTGATGCCTTAGTTTTAAAAAACAACATCACAGTAAGTTTATATGCGTGGTTTGAATTTAAAAATGTTGAACTTAAAGAAAACTGTCATATTACAATTCCAAGTCATTTTCATTGTAATGAGAAGATGTCATTCAACAAAGGAAGTCACATCACTTTTAATGAGTCGATTTCTTTAAGAGGAAAAATAGAAGTTCCTAATAACTATGAATTTATTTATCCATTAATCACATCATGGATTGCTCCACTAAATGTCATGCACATATACCCAGATTTTGGAATGGTCGATGGCACCACAAATTGTGTTGATGTCGTTTCTATGCAACAAGATGTCAATCAATATGACGACGATACCACAAAATATATAACAAAAGCAGTATGGAATGACACTAATGGGTTAAACCACCTTTATTTAATCAATGAGAAGTTAATTCGATATTGCCCAAATGGCTTAAATAGTGTTGATTGTAAACAATTAAAGTGTTATTTGAATGGAAACCAGTGGATGGATACAATTCCTTCAACCAATTTATTTGCATTTACAGCACCACATTGTCCATGTACAACATATGATGGATTTACTTGTACTATTTATATTGAAAATAGTAATGTCGACTTGTTATCAAAAAACTTAAACAATTTAGTTGCTCCAATTAACACTCAAATTAGAAATGGAGGAAGTTACACAAATGTTGTAGTTAAAAGTGAAGTCACTGCTTTTTCTTTGGCTTCAAAATTTGTTGCAAATTTGACTTTAGAAAACGTCTTTTCTTTAATAAAAGAGACTGCAACAATTCAAACAACAAACATTTTAATATCACAAAATGAAAGTGAAATTATTGTGAATGATGAATATATAAATGACGTGAAATGCACTTTATTGGATAACACCAAGAAAATCATTTTTAAAGTTTTAACTCAAAATTTTGATATAACAACACAAAATGATTTGAATAATTTGAACGTGGAAATGTCAACGGGGATTTTGGGTGTTACTTGTGTAGCTGGAAATACCAATTATATTACAGTGAATAACATTAAATTTCAATTAAATAATTTGACAACAACACTGACATTTACTATGAGTCAAAATACAATGACAACATCAACTGGTTTTGCTCAAGCTTCAATTCAAGTTGGAGAAGAAACACTTTCATTTTCTTCTGATAAAGAAACTACAATTACTTTAATAGACTCAAAGTACACAATTACAACAGACAGTCTTAATAATGTTTCTCTTCCTAAAGTGATTTCATTGACTTTAGTAGTAAAGAGCTTCACTTCAATTGTTTCTGAAGGAAGATTTGAATTCCCAAGTAATTTGAATACAACACAAGTACATACTATTGAAGTGACATCGACTGAGAATACACTGGAAATCACAACGGATTCACTTAACGATTTCATTATTACTAATAAGAAAGAAGACTTTAACTATACAATTAATACAAATACTAATATTACTATATTTGGGGTGAAAACGGGAAGTGTCACTGTTCCAAATACATATAACAAAATACTAAAATTTGCCAGTCAGCCAACTGAAATTTCTAAGAACGAATTTTTCACATTGAGTGAAATTGAAAATATTAAAAGCAACATTAATAGAGATGGAACGGAAACAATAATTTCATTTAATAGTCAAAATGTATCATTGAGTAATTTTATGTTTTCCAATTTGGAAGTGAAGATAATTAATGTAGAAAAATCACTTGATTTGGATATCATTAATTCCACTTTTAATAAACTTACATTAAATAGTGTTAATACTGTGGTGATAACAACTTCTACATTTACAATTGATCAAATCACAAATACAAAGTCTCAACTTACTTATTTGATATCAAAAGAACATGTCGCGAATGGCACATGTCGTGTAATGAAATACACTTCATTAGACTCCACTTGCATATCTTCACAAATAGAAATTGCTGAAGATGAAAATTGTTTAAATAAGACAGAAAATAGATGTTATGAGTGTAAAGAGACGTATTATCTTTCTTCAAAGTGTTTGAAGTGTGGAGAAAATTGTTTACGTTGTTTGGACAGTACGAACTGTACTTCCTGTGTAGAAGGTTTTGTCCTCTCAAATGGCAAATGTGTGGACTCCTGTGAAAAGCCACGGAATTCATTGTGCTTAGTTTGTGACAAACAAAAAGTTGCAAATAACATCTGCAATAACCTTCCGGATAATTGTGAATATTCAACAAACGGAAAATGTCTCCAATGTACTACTGGATATGTTGTTGATTCAAATGGGTTATGTGAATCAATAGCAAATTCAGCTCAAACGAGTGGGAATAATATAATAAATTGTGTCGAAAGTTACTACCTGAAAGGTGGTGAATGTGTTCCTTGTGACTCCAATTGCCATCAATGTAGCTTAGATGCAACATGTTATGAATGTTCATCAAATTCTTTTATCAACGCAACTACAACATGTGAAAGTACATTATGTGACACTTCTACAACACAAGAAGAGAATGGGAGATGTCTTACTCCAGTGGCTTCATGTGATAAATATTTGAATGGGTGGTGCATTCAATGTAAAGACAATATGTTACTTGATAATGGGAAATGTGGCGATTCAGTAGCACAGAACTGTCTTAAAGTTGATCCATTAGGAAAGTGCATTAGATGTGATAATGAGTCTTATTTAAATGATGAGTATGTCTGTGTATCATGTGAGAATGGCTGTGTGACATGTCACAACTCGACATATTGTCTTTCGTGTAATTCGACGTCTTATTTAACTTCCGGTGAGTGTAAAACACTTGATTATTTAAAAGGAAAATGCGAGCAGTATATTCCAAATGTAGGAGGGT